CAGTGAACAGTGAGTTATTTGTTATCACCAATTTCACTACACACAGCGTCCTCTGTATCTAATACGGTATCAACGGATTTATATATATTTTTGATTACCTGATATTCTTTCTAATATTTGAAAACTATTAAGTATTTGATCAACAGCTCGACGAAACTATTGCCCTCCCGCATATCCATGGGTAAACTTTTAGAAACAAATCATTAAGACTTGAGATAAGGCCATCTTTTTCAGGTATTTTCCCCTCACCTACTCATAATAAAAATCTCGCGAAATTCGTATTACCTTTTCCTAAATGGTCTCTCATGTTTGTTCTTAAGGTGATTGATTGTACAGAGCTCCATAAAGGAGACGCCTTTAAGCAGGCTTTATCTATATCAGCACATGATCCTCTAGGCACAACAGGAAGAGTTTAACAATAGTCACCAGCAGACACGAAGGTGACGTCTCTTCTTAGGTCTTTTAGAGTTCAATATATAGCTTCTATATGTGAGCGGTGACTCATCGTACATTCGTCCCACATTATGAGACAGACATATTGAAAAAGTTTGCCCTGTGGCCCGTATTTTCGAATGGAACATACGGATTCTTTCTGGATGAAGATACTCAAAGGCAGTTTACATTTAAATGAATGGGTCAATAAGAGAAGTCGCGTCTATACCGGAATAAACCACCGCAAAAGCCAGTTTGCCTATAGAAACCCCGAATTCGGATAGTTGACTTGAAAATATACATATAAAGAAAGGAACATTATTTATTTTCACACGTCTGCTCCTTTGGGTTGGTTACTTTGAGACGTTATTTGCCATTCCGCACACCGCAGCTCCTCCCTTGCCTTCTCCTCCTTTGCCGCGCCGACCGCCATCATAATTCATAACTATATTATCGTGAGAGAGTTTTTATATAAAAATGGTTATTGTGTGTTATCCTTAGAATCAGAAGATAGACGTATGCTGCCGCGGCATTTCTTTTAGAACTTTTTAAGAGGAAAAATTCAGTTATACATTATTTTCATGCAAATTCCTATTGATGCAGTGCACGCTGTGAAAGCTCACTAGAGGCACGACTTTTTCCGACTTAGTTGACAAATATCATCACAATTCTTAGCCATAATATAACACATAATATATAGCCTATATCCATCCATCCGGGATAGTGTACATTTCAAATATTGAAATAAATTTTCAAATAAGTGTAGTGGTTGATTACCCTACACATAAATACAAACTCTTGAAATTTGCACTCTATCTTTATGATACTAGTATAGATTGTGAGTTATCCTTAGAAGATAAACATATACCTACTGTTGGAGACTTTTGTAAAGCCTTTTAAGAGGAACAATTCAGCTATACATTATTTTCGTCTAACTTTAACCATTGATGCATCGCACGCTGTGGAAGCTATCAAGAGCCACGACTTTTTCCGATATTGTTGACAAATATCATCAAAGCTTTTAGTCATAATATAAATATACACACATAATATATAGCCTATGTCCATCTGGAATAATGTACCTTTCAAATGGTGAAAGAAATATTCAAATAGGTGCAGTAGTTCCGGAGATTAGCCTCCACATATATACAAACACAAAATTCGCATTTTCTCTTTATAATCTTTATATACCTAGTCAGGTCATAAATTCTGTCACATGTTTAATATAAAATAATTGAAACAAGTTTATTCATTATGTAACCATTTATATACCAAAACGAACTTAACAAAACATAGATTCTTATGACACTAAAGTTTATTCATAATGACCTCCGTGATTTTGAATACAGGCCTTCAATCTACGCGGCCAGTCGTCTATCGCAGCACGAACGAGGTCCATGTCAATATCGGCGGCTGCCTTAATCAAGGATGTCTTGAGTGACTCCAAATTGGGATGAGGCTTTGAGCACGCGTTTTCCTCCAAGTGTTGCCATATCTTGTAATCTAACGGATTCAAATCTGGACTGGAGGAGGGCCAGTCTTCGTGCCGGATGAAGTCGATTTCACGCGCCGCCAGTCAGTCTTGTGTGCTCTTCGCTCTATGAGCTGGCGCCGAATCTTGTTGGAATACCCAATGCCTGTTATTGAACATGGTATGAGAAACAGGTTCCACAATGTTCGTCAGGACTGTATTTTGATATACAACTGCATTCTTTTTTACACCTTTCTCACAAAAATGTACCTCTATTAAGCCCCAATAAGAAACTCCCAACCATACCATGAGCGAGGATGGAAAATGACCTCGTTGGACACGCGGAATACGGTTGCTCGCTTCTTCACTACTGTGTGCGTACACCTTATCATTTTGTTTGTTGTAGCTCTCTTCTACGGTAATAATTTTTTCATCCGAAAAAAGAATTTCCTAATATTATTTTCCCGCGTACCGCTTCAACAAAGCGCGGCATCTCTTCAGTCTCAGGTCCATTAGACGAGCATTCAAACGATGTCCTGTTTTTCTTCGATATGCCCGAAGCCCTAAGTCTTCATTTAACACCCTTTTCACCGTGGTTCTGCTTAACCCCATCTGAAGGGCCAACAGTTTCTGCTTACGTTTGGGATTTCTTTGAATTCGCGCCTTCACAGCTTTTATCACTGCTGAAGTCCTAACAGACCGAGGGCGACCACTTCTTGACCTGTCATCTACACTAGAGTCTTCATTATATCGTTTGATGGTACGATAAACGAATCTTTTGGTTATATTCAAATTTTTCAGTATGTCAAAAATTTGAATTGGCGCGTAACCGCAACGATGCAACGCAATAACTGCAACACGGTCTTCTTGAAGCGTCCACTCCATATTTAAAAATGAGTAAAATTCTAAAAAGTATACAGTTTTATTTTCATGAACAATTCGAAATTCTAATTCAATAAACTCTTTTGTGGCCAGCATTCTAAAAAGTATTTACTGTGTGACAATACTTATGACCTGACTAGGTATAAAAATTACGTGTCACATTGTTTGTCCGCGATGTACTCCTAAACTACTGAACTGATTTCAATGAATTTTTTTCAAACTGTGTGCAGTTTGGCCCAACTTGAGAGACAGGATAGTTTTTATCCCGATAAGTGAGTGACCTTCAATATTTTTTATAGGTCTTCGGAAAGGGCAGAACAACGTCTGCTTGGCCAGCTACTATTAGTATAGATTTTAAAAATTTGTCTTTGTTTTTAAATCATTTTATAATAAGTATCTATTTCTTTTCATGTTTGAAATGTTTCCGTTTTAATATTTGTAAAAATAGTAAATATGGGAGTATATGATATGGCAACATTATTAAAAAAGAGGGGATTATGGAGCCATGAGACGTTTTGCGGGGGGTTGTTTTTAAAGAAAATATGGTGTATGGTGTATAAAACTGAAACTTTTAATGAGGGATATATTTATGAACCTTTTAGTAGTCGTTGTTTATGAATTTGTTTGAGGAGAGAGGAATATATTGTTTGTTTAGAATAGTGATTTACAGTATAATCCGTTTATTATGACTCCGCCTATATTGACCAACCGCTTACTATGAAGTAATTACACAGCGAAGTTTGGTTTTCATAAAAAAATCTTTATAACAAAGTCTGATATAATGACTTCGCTTATTGTGACCCATTTTCAATAAATTGTGTCCGGTTATAGTAACCGACATGATTCCTAACACCTTCGGCAGTGTTCGCGAGAGTCACGTGATAACCGACGACGTTCGGCTTTTTTTTTGTTTTGAGTCTCAGTGGGTACTTGATAATTGATTACACTTACTACGTACTTACTCTACTTACTTATTACGTACAATTTTTATTTTGATTTATCTCTATTTTGTTGTTCTCTTTTAAAATAAATACGTACTAACAAAAACTGGAGATTGTTTATTTTCTACAAAATGCTTTATGTGACGTCAGCTTAGTATGTCGTGTTTGTTGTTTCCCTTTGATGTCATTATATACGGATTAGGGATTAAACATAAAAGTTGTAATAATAACGTAATTAAAGTATATTGGATCTCAAATCATAATTTATTCTTTTAATTCGAAGTGGTTCCGGCGACCAATCTTTAACAGACACATTTGCGCAGAACAGAATTATAGTGCGTGTGTGTGTGTGTGTGTGCACAAACACAGATGCACTGCCTATTCCCTCACTCTCATAGTCCGATAGGATTGCAATCCGACACGATTGTAGAGAAATCAGGCGTAGAACCAACGACTTTACGTGTTTTCCGAGGCACGGGAGTGAATCACGACCAATTTCCCCATTCCGGGCTGCTACTGAGAATTCCTTGATAAAAAAACTAAATAACTGATTTTGGGCCGACTCGGTATTCGAACCTGGAACCTCATGATCACTACACCAACGAGACAGTACCATAAGGTGGTACATGGTAGCTCTAGGGCAAATCTGTCGTCGTATATGTCACGCGAGCAATCCGGGTACGATCCCTGCCGGCAACAATGAAATTACTAATACTGAGTAAACACGTGCTCGGCGCATGTATGTGGTGAAACCATGCTGCAGCTGTATTATGATTATGACACGGATGTGTCGGCTCGACCGGGCCAGGACCACGCTCTCACAGATTACCAGCGTAAAATAGCAGCTTAATGCTGCTGCGTTCCGTATGGCGAGTGTAGAGAACCGGAGACCTTTTACTGGAATCGGGGCATTCCATCTTAGTCTTCGAGGGTGACATCTGCATTTTGATTCTTAATCGAGGGAAGATGTTGTAGATGCCTATGGACCACAGCATCCACTTACCTGATGGTAACAGGAAGGTGGATGATGTGGCCCATAGACATCAACATTTCCCATAGACAACCTAACCTGATGGTGGACTGTGTGGTCCTTTGTATTATTTTATAAAAAACATGGTGAAGTCCGTCAAATAAAGCAGCGCGGACCTATCGCTCTACAACCCTTTCAGAAATCAGGGAGTACTGTGCCCAGCAGTGGGACGTTTGTAGGTTGTAGCTACACTTCATTTAACAATTAACGCTGTCAACATAAAATTTCACAATAGCAAACTCACCACTATCTCCTCGGGGTCAGCCTCGACGATCACCTGCTTGAACTCGATGTCGCCGTTGCTGATCGCCTCCGAGTCGTAGTTGGGATCGTTGGCGTCCTCCTCGTACTCCTCGAGGAGTTCGCAGCCCGGGGCGCCCCAGACTCCTTTGCCGCCAGCGCCACCTGGTGGTTTTTCAAGGTCATGATTTTTCTTCAGGTTTTTGTTGGAACTCGGTTAAAAAAATAATGAAATCTACGGCTAGCTATTTATCTAGCTGGACTATTCGTGCCGCAGCCATAACATACCACCTTGAGTTCGTCTCAGTAGTTTAACGATTAAACTAATCAGTTCTACTAGTGCGAATTAATCGTTGTTTTAGTACATCATCATCGCATTCATCATCGCATTCATCATCACATTCTTCATCATCATTACAGCCCTTTCTATGTTCACAGCTGATCATAAGCCACCCTCTTACACCGCCTTACCCAATGTAAGTCGCCTTACCCATTTTTAATACATCTAAAGTGGATTTTTAGTTATCTATTAGAGCTAACTTAATTAACCCCACTATAGAATAGAATAATTTTTTATTCAATATAGATCACATGTGTAATTCGTATCGAAAGTCATTTTTTACTTTACCACTGGTTCGAAAACAAAGCCTCTGTCGTGGGAAGAACCAGCAAGAAACACAGCGGGACTTTTTTTTTAAAGCAAATTTTACATTAATGGTTGTACAAACTATATAAGTACAAAATTTATTTAGGAAACAGCTTGGAAGCGACCACCTCATTCCCAGGGGTTATTATCAACCATGTATTCATTTATACTATAATAAGTTAACAAAACATTTAAACTTGGTAATAGAGAGAGCCTGTACACTTTCCGGGACCTTGTTGTAATAGCGTATACATTGCCCCAAGAACGAATTACTGACTGTGGAGTCGAGAAACTGGTATCACTAGCTTGTGTTTGTTCCTAGTGTTTACAGAATGTACATCACTTTTTTTACTAACATACATTAAATTTTCGTAAACATACTGTGAGGCCAAAGTTAATATATTTATTTCTTTAAATTTATCTCTCATAATCCATAACCATAAACCATCCTCGCGTGACGTCATGACACTATCACCAAACGCGCGGGTCGTAAGTGCATACAACAATCCGGTACTGGCGCACCATGTAGCAAACTCATAGTTAGACCGGCTTCTTCTACTAAGGATAGAGACACCATATATAAAGATGACTATCCCGTTGGTCTAGTGGTTGTAAACGCGACTGCCGATGGTGTGATTCCGGGTTCGAATCCCAGAGCGGGCCAAAAAAACAGTAAATCGGGGTTTTCCGTCAAGAAATTCTCAGTAGTTGCGCGGAGTCAGGAAGTTAGCGGTGTCTCAGCCCCGTGCCTCGAAAAGCACGTAAAGCCGTTGGTACTGCGCCTGATCTCTCTAAGGTCGTGACGGTTTACCGTCCCATCGGATTATGAGAGTGAGTGAATAGAGAGTCCACCTGTACTTGCGTTTACTCTTGGGCACTATAATCCTGTCCTGCACCGATGCCTAGTCTCCGTTGAGGCTGGCCGCCGTGACCGAAATTCAGTCTGGAGGACGTTATTATATACCTGGATTTGTTCAGACATGTCAGGATTTTTGGACTCTTGACGGGATTGCGGCCAGATTTTTGAAATATCAGGCTTTTTTTGATTTTTCAATAAAATATATAAGGTTTTTGCGTGAGAGGAGTGGAATCTGCGAGGTGATTTGATCACGGGAGTGCACAAAACCAATAATTGATTTGTTCATTTTTTTACGTTTGTTATTACGTTTGCAATAAAATGTCGGGACGGGACGGAATTCAGGTTATTTGTCCAAACTATGCAATTTTCCATCTGGTAACCCTAACTAGAGATCTATTTTGTAACAGATGAGTTTCTAAAAATAACTTAGCATTTTTTTCTTTTTTGTAACTTTTTTTTTAAAAATATAGTATTTTTCCCCAAAAAAAGATGCAAAAATATAGTACTTTTCGGAAATTCAAGAAATAAAAAGTAAACATTTATTTTTAATCTTCATGTATTTTGCCATATACATATTTGTTATTACTCTTCGCTTTGGCCATCAATGATCTATTACCTAGATCTAAAATAGATATAAAAAATAGGAATCTGAGCAATTTAGATTAATGACTTACAATCACAGTTAATATAAAAGAGCGCGACAGTTGAATAATGGATAAAAATATAGTACTTTTCGTACTATATTATTTTTCTATAATATATAGCACAATTGACTGAAATATAGTACGATACTATACTGTACGGGTGGCAACCCTAATTGCTTGCAGGCCTCTTCGCTAACTTCGTTGACAACAAATTTATAGTCACTATCGCGTCGTTTTATAGCTTCATATAGGAAATCCCACGACTTTTAAAACATTTTTTAAATAGAATCAGGGTGACAAACGAGCACACAGTCCACCCGATGGTAAGTGGATGCTGTGGCCCATGGAAATCTACATCTATCCTCAGTTAAGAATCAATATGCAGATGCGTTGTCACCCCTGAGAACTAAGATATAATGCCTCGTCTCCAGTAAAATGGGTCTCCGGTTCACTACACTGACCATGCAAAACACGGCAACATTAAGCTGCTATTTTACACTGGTATTCTGTGAGGGCGTGGTACAATATAGCTGCAGCGTGGCTCCACCGCGTATAAAATGTCAACAAATTTAGCGTACAGGCCTGTAGATCGACACGCAATGAATCATTTTATACGTAGAAACAAACAAACCGTTCAGTTACATGTTATCATCAAGGTCATTCCATTGTTGAAAACACACAAAAATACGATAACAAGTGTTTATTTTTAGCCATACAATGGTTTTTTTTTTATTTTTACTCATCTTTGGCAGGTCCACAAGTAGCATAATATTATTGGCTGTTGGGTATGTATGTTGATGAGGATGCGGTAGAGGAAAACAGAACCTCGGAGGAAATGATTCTGAATTTAATAAGCTCTGTAGTCCGAACTGTCAAACGGGGCGTTAGCCGGGCTGAACTTCTTGTCCGGCTTCTATCATCTTTTCCTTCCACGACCAGATTTATGGCATCGTCTACCAGTCAAGCCTGGGCGCAAATCAAAGACAAATGAATGTTTGTAATTACTACTAGACTTTTTGCCCTTGTGTATTTAGTATGTAATATGTAATAGACGTCTATTTTAGTTCATAATACTGTTGCGCGCCACTATTAATGTCTTGTACATGGCAACACTAGGTACACTAGCGCCCTCTAGTGTCGAGTAGTAGAACTAGGAGAGTCAAGATCCTTCCAGAAATTTCGGGACCGATATGTACTCGAACATTCTAGATGTCGCTACAGTAGAAGATTCTGGAAACTATCTGAGGCCCTATATAAGGCCGGTATAGACCACGACCGAGGCAGTATTGAATTGGCGATACAAGAGAATACTTCGAAACGAAATAACGGCGAACTGTGTTTTATTATTAGTGTGATTTTAGATTGTAATTAGTGTTGTGTAATTAAAGTGTCAATTTTGGTAATTCAATCGGCAGTTTTTAATTGTCTCGAACCCCAAGCTCGTAACAATTGGTGTCAGAAGTGGGATCAAATATGCCGATTTTACCTAAAGACGACACCGAGGGTATCCGTACCCGAAGTCAACGCCAACAGGAGACGGACCAGAGACGATTTGGTGGTGCAACGTCACAGACGTCGGCAGGCCAGTTGCCGACCACGGAGTCCGGCCCGTCAGCAGCTCCTGCATCTGCAGCACCTGACTTAGGTACTCTGATGATGATGCTGCAGGAACAAGCTCTCCGACAGGAGGAACAGGCCCGCCGACAGGAGGAACAGGCTTGTCGGTTGGAAGAGCAGCTGCAGCGCGGACAAGAGGAACAAGCCCGCCAACAGGAGGAACAGGGCCGTCGGTTGGAAGAGCAGCTCAAACGCGATAAGGAAGAGCAGATACTTCTCATGAAGGACCTTCACGCTACCTTCGGGAAAGAAATAAGTGAGGTGAAGGATAAGGTTGCTCAATATGACAACCGCCTGTCAGATGCTGAAACCCGAATCGACCAAGTGTACAATCGGGTTGACAATGTGATGGCTGACGTGAAGAAAACGCTGAACAACCTCAAAATTGGGGATGGAGTTACAGCTTCCGTGGTAGCTACAGCACCTTCGCTACGTAGATTCAAAGTGCCACCGTTCGATGGGACTTCTTCCTGGTCGGCCTACAAAATCCAGTTCGAGGCTGTCATGAAAGCGAACGGCTGGAATAAAAGTCAGGCCATGACTGCTCTCACCCTAGGCCTGCGCGACCAGGCCTTAACTGTTCTGGAAGCTCTCGGTAAGGAAGTGACTTACGAGCAGCTCCTTGAGGCATTGGAGGCGAGATATGGCGACGCTCACCAGGAACACGTCTTTCGTGCGCAGCTCAAAGATCGCGTGCAACGCAGTAACGAAAACCTGCAGCAGTGGGCCCTTGAGGTGGAGAAGATGGTTCGAAAAGCGTACCAGTCTGTACCTGCGCTTATTGTAGGGAACCTGGTGCAGACATTCATCGACGGCATCCGCGACCTTGAAGTCAGAGCTGCTGTGAGGCTCGGGCACCACGAGACGCTTAAGGACGCCTTGACCCATGCACTGGAGGTGGAAGCCGTGCGGCAGGATCATCGTTCCCACCGCGTCAGGGAGGTTGCAGCAGCTACAGTTCAGGACCGCAATAAAAGCTACAGCCCTAGGTGCTACCGCTGCGGGGAAAGGGGCCATCTTCGATCCAGCTGCCCTAAGCGAACTGTAGAAAGGGAAGGTGATCGATCTCGAGAGGGTAGTGCGGCTAATAGCACCGCCCAGCAGCAGCAGGGAAACGAGTAAAAGCCAGGACTACGGGGCGGGTGCTGGCTGATGTTAAAAGAGCCCCAAGGATTTCGATCTCACAAACCCATGATGGGAACAGCCTAATCATCTAGGGCGGAAATTCCACTTACGAACTGACCATGCTGCACTCAAATGGCTATTGCAGTTCAAAAATCCGGAAGGACAAGTTGCGAGATGGATTGAACTACTGCAGGAATACGACTTTGTGATCGAACATCGCAGCGGGAAATCTCATGGCAATGCAGATGCATTGTCAAGAAGGCCTTGCCCTGAA